TCTACATATGTAGTTACTAACTAGTTTGTTTTTCTCTATTACAATTATTGCTGAATTTCCAAGTGCAGTCTCTACCTCTCTCTCTCTCTCTCTCTCCTGCTGCTTTCTCTAGCTCGCTCGTTTGCTCTGTCTGCTCTGCTCCCGTTGGACGTTTTACAATTTGTATTTGCTTTTTGCCAAAGTGCTTGGAATGTGCTGTGCAAATATTTGTGACACACACACACACGTGCACACACACACACACACACACATCTAGTGAGTGTTCTGCTTTTCGCTTCGTTTTCATTTCATCTCATCTCGAGCTCAATTTGATAAGCGTTAATGACCTTGCCACCAACGACCTTCACATCCTGTGCGCGCACAAATGGCGGAAGTAAACATTTTTCTGAAGAAGAAGAAGCAGAGGAACAATAGTAGGGTATATCCGAAAGGAAGATTTCGATAGCGAAATACGAGCGTGTTTAGGTAGTTGGAAAGATCGCAGCGAAGGCTGTGGCTGGGACTGAGGCTGTGGCATGTGGCATGCGGCATGTAGCATAAATAATGCCAAGGTGTAGGTGTAGGTGCGAGTGAGTGTGTGAGTGAGTGTGTGTGTGTGTGTGTGTGTTGCGGGTGCTTGCTGTCAGTTACCAAGAAGCGCATTCACAGCATTTTTTGCTTGCAGTTGCTGCTGCTGCCGCTGCAAGTGAAGCGCAGCAAGCAGTAAAGCAAACGTTGAACTTGCTGCCACAAGAGCAACGGTGGCAGCAACAATTGCTGATTGTTGCTCCGCAAAGCCCTTTTTTGTAGATGATTGCGGAAATCCGAGCGAACGAATGAGATTTAATTGTAAATTTATGCATCTTGTTGCTGTTGCTGTGGCCCGTTGTGTGAATGCCACAGCGCCATGCGATCTTCACTAGCTCCACCTTTTGTCAGCTGCTGCTACCTGTGAGAATTGACAAAAATTATAATGAATCGCACAGCGAGAGCTGCGGGCTGCGAGCTGCGAGGGCCAAAGCCTTGCAGCTAAATGCAAACACACAGAGCGCTGGCAGAGCTCGCAGCGTTCAGGTAAAAGCTAATCACAACATAAGCGAGCAGCGAGCAGGTAAAACAGTTTCATTCATGTTGTTGTTGTTGCTAGTGCTGCTGTAGTTGTTGTCAAGTAGTTTGTTACGCTTGTTAGTAGCAGCTCGGAGACTGCGGCCATTTGAACAGAATTTATGACAGTCACAGTTCAGGGACAGCCACAGCCACAGCTACAGAGCAGAGCTCGCTCGCTCTCAACTTTATCAGGCAACTTAATCTCGCAGACAACTCTTTTATTTGAGTTTTTGCAAACGGCGACAACCCTGGCATAGCTGAAAATTGTGTTTACTGATAAGCGACTGTGGAAATGACATGGGTGTTAATGCCATAAAGTCGGGTATTAACTACTTTTAAGTACTCGGACGAGAAGAAAAAACAAAACACAACAACTCTGAACTCAGTCGAGCTGAGCTGCTGTGAAAATAAGTAAATTGCCAACGAGAATTCTTGGTATGCTAGATGGAATCTATAGATGAAGTAGATAGCTTTGGAAAATATAGAAAAAAAAATATTTTACTGTTATTCTTACTTCTTTATTCTTTTTTGCTTGGTTTTCTCCTAAGTTTTTCTTTTAAGTATTTCATTAGACTTGCAATGAAAATTCATACCATAGAAAATTCTTTATAGTTAATTCTTTAATTAGTTGTAAACTATTCAGAAATGATATAAATTTATTATAAATACTTTGTCGAAAATTCGCAAATATTTTCAAAACTTGTTTACTTGCGGTAAATTTTCCTCTTGATTTTTTAAAGATTTAATAAATCTCAGAAAAATATTTTACACACAAAATTATGGTCTAATGATCTATAGCATCAGTTCTCAGTCGTTCTATATACTACATAAATGATCCGCTCTTTCAGCACCTATTCGATTGCACAGCTGAGAAAAGAATTTTTGAGTCAGCGCAAGAAAATTGTTTTCGTGGACATGCAAATTATTATTATAATTTTTTAAACAATTTATTTCCGGTATTTTAATGCTCAAAAAACATTAACCCATTATACATTTGTAAATGTAGTGAGGCAAGTGCTTAAAAATAATTTAATATTGTCTTTATGGCAATTATAAACAATTTGCGTATTCTGCCTTAATTTGTTGTTTTTAATTAAAAATAAAATGTATTATAATATACACTGAATTTTTATACTTTCTGAAGTTCCTCAAATGGTTTCTAATTATTTTCTTTAGGTTCCTCTAATTTTAAATATTTCTCAAAAGATCTATCCATATCCATATCTTACATTGTATTAGGATTTCGTCGACTCATCAATCACCAATTCATGCCGAAATGTCAATTTTTGTTAGATAGATAATAATTTATGCTTGCGTCAAACATAACACCATAAAGCGATTGGCTTAAATCGAACTATTTACATATTCCGCTTCAAGATTGAGAATCTTAATTGTGAATAATAGCGATATGATTGCTATCTGACTCGCCTCGGCTGGTTCTTCATTCCCACAGTAAATACTGTATGGCTAAACGCATATTTAAATCGCATCTATTATAAAAATTTCCTGTTTAGGATCTACAGACACACTTGGCGAGTGAGAGAGAGGGGAGAGTGAGAAAGAGAGAGAGGGAGAGCTGGAGCGAGAGCTGTCTGTCTATGTAATATACTCGCCGTCATCTGATTAGAGCCTGTTTGTGACCTCGCTTGTTTTGTGGAATTTATTGGACTACCTGATATCTACCAATAAGCAACCGCAACACACACACACACAAACTTGTTCGCCTGGGCGTGGCAAAAGGGGCGCTGGGGTGCTCGAAGAGCTTGTCTGCAGCTGTTAACTGTGCCCATTTCGCTGGCGCCAGTGTTTTGGCCATGTTTTTCCGCATTTTTCACGATTGACCAAAAAATAATAAAACGGAAAAAAAGAAAGACAAAAACAAAAAAACAAACAAAAAATGTCATTTTGCATTTTACCAGTCAAAAGTGTCTAATTTCGCGTTTAGCGCAAAAAAAAACAATAAAAAAAAATTTTTAAAGAAAAAGCAAAAAGTTAAAAATAAAGACAAAAAAAAACCAGAAAAATATAACAAAAATGCGTTAACAGGCAATGCACGGCTGCAGGATAAAAAAAAGAATTTGATATTCAAAATTTGGAACTGATTTTTATTTGGACTGATTCAAAAAAAAAAAGATTTCAATTTTTAGAGATTTATAGTTCTTAATAGATTTGTTCTATTTCAAAGATTTTCAGGAAATAAATCCATTCAAAATTATAGATTTGATTTACTAAGACCTCAGAAAAAAAATTCAGTTATTCCATATCCATCACGTAAACTCCCAAACAAATACAATATACAAAAAAAACAATGGGCTACAGGGTAGCATGACATCGAATCAGTTATAGGCCAAATCTTGGCTGCGTGGCAGAAGCTCAGCTGCTGCTTTTGGCCATAATTAACCTAGCTGTTGTAGTTGTTGTTGTTGCTGTTGTTGCTGTTGCTGTCTGTTGCCTGTAGGCTGTTGCCTGTTTTTGGGCAGCAGCTTTCACGCACACTGCGATTGGAGCACAGCGCACAGGAGCAACAGCAACAGCAACAGCAACAGCAACAGCAACAGTTGCCGCCAGCATTGGCAATGTCAATGCACTTGAAGGCAGCTAGACTCGCCGCTGTTAGCCTGGCTAACTGGCAGTCAGGCAATCGTATGTCGCAGATTTATCTCCCTCCCTCTCTCTCTCTCTCTCACACACACTCTGCACGTACTTTGCCCCCACAAAAAGAAATGGATGGAAGGAAACAGAGACAAACAGTCGAGGCTGTCTTCTAACTGGCCGCTGAGACTGAGTTTTGTCAACTGCAACAGAAACTGGATTTCTATTCGTTTCCTTTGGCGACCGAGCAAAAAAAAAAAAAAAAGAATCAAAAGGTGGGGAGGGTAGGGGCATTTCTCTCATAATTATGCATTAAACACTTGAAGTTTTGACGTTGCAGCTGGGCGTCGCTGCAATTTGCATATAGAAACCATAGAAACAAGATGACATAAACTGAAACTGAAATGAACAAGTTGAGGAGGTTTTGCTGCTGCGTGGGCAACACAAACCAGGCAAAAACAAATCGCATTTGAAATATATATATTTTTGTGTGTGTGTGTGTGTGTGAAAACTTGTTTATTGGCTTAGCAGAAGGTTTTTGGGCTGCTGCCCTCTTGGGTCAATGTTATGTAAACCTGGTTCACTTTTCACACAAACTGCAGCAAAAGCAAACATAATAAGACGCGCGCATATTACACAAAAACCCAAATAGCAACAACAACAGCAGCAACAGCAACAATAAATAACTTGGCCAAAGCAATCGATTCAATTTTGTTGGCTGGCYGGCTCTACGAAGCTGCATTCCAAAGATGCGCAACAGACAGCGATAAGAAAAAGTGCAACAGCAGCAGCAGCAGCAACTACAACAACAGCAATAAAATATGTCGCCAGCCAAAAAATGAGAAATAATCATTTAACAAAAAAAATCATAAAATATCCATTAAATACGCACA